TTTATTTGTTTGTTTGTTTGTTTGTTTGTTTGTTTGTTTGTTTGTTTATTCCCCGCCTATCTAGTCATTTCGACCACTCTAGGCGGTTTACAACATAAGGTAAGAGCTGCATTCAGCTCTGGGATTGCTGGGCCACTTCCATGCCACCTCCTCTTACTGGAGGCATCCCTTTTCTATTGCAAAGGAAATTTGGTGGTTAATTGAAACCACCCTGGGAAATTCACATAGGCATACCCAGACGCCTTATTGATCCTAGACTTCCCAGGCCACATTGCTGCTCTGGTCTGGCAGCACCGAAAAGTACCGGCAGGATTACTTGCATATGCACTTCTTACATGTACAACTCTAGAAAAATCCAGAATGTAGGCCAGAGATGGGGAATGCATGGCTCTCCACAGACTGAATTCTAACTCCCATCATCTGTCATCATTGAGTATGCTGGCTAGGGCTGTTGGAAGCTGCAATCGAGCATCATCCAGAGGGTCACATCGACCACGGCCTTTGTTTAGATGATGCTCCCGGTTCACAACTCTGAACCCTCCAAATCGCCCTCACCAGGAAATTTTATTGCTGGCAATACTAGATGGCCCCTCCTGTATAGGCTGTATGGTCTCAGTACAATGATTGTCCCATTCCCCCCCCCCACTTCCTTGCCTCTGTCACCTCTGGTTTTCAGTCTCTTCCTCTTGGTCTCATTTTCTTATCTACTGTACTCTGTATCTTTTAACCTTTTGGAAAAAACTATTCCTAGTTCCTGCCACATTCCCAGCAGGTAACATACCTTTACAACATGGATGGGCAAAGCATAGTTCACGAGAGATTGTTGAGCTCCTGGTAGGTCTTGCCGGCAGAGCTAATGGTGAAGAACGAGGCTCCGTAGGACTGCATTTTGCCCACCCTTGTGTTGAGCTTTGACTGAGAGGTCGTCAGACAACTCTCTTTTGTTTTTGTCTTCACTGCCTCTTTCCTCAAACCACCTTCTCCTCAGTCCTGCCCTTCTTTCCGATTCTGCTTTTTCAATCAACTCTTCACTTTGTGCCCTTCCTTAGCCCTTTTTTCCTCCTAATTTTCAAACTGGCCTGCAAATACAAATGGATATTGATGGCACACTCCGTTTCCTTTCCCGACAATGACGTTGTCTTCTGCTCTTCTTTAATTGGTGATATTTCCCCCCCCTTACTGGCATCTGTTTTCCATCTCTTAAGAGTAGCAAAACCGTTTTCCCCTACAAATGCACAAAAAAAACCTTGTTCCCTTTTGGCTTCCAACTCCTTTCAGCAAAGTCACGCTGATGAAATAGAGGAAGCCTGGGCTGCTGAATCATCCCTCCTGCTCTTCAGGTTAAAGGAGCCACCTCAGGAACTGGCAAGTCTGCACACAGAGAGAGCTGCACAAGGGAATCAAGGTCTATCTTCAGAACCACTTTATAAGGCCACGATTCCAAGGTGAGCAAAGTAATAATGTAACAAATGAGCATGTGCAGCTCTGGGCATGCGCAGTCATGTCCTACCTTGACAGCTCACCAGACAACAGCCCATCTTCTTTGTAGAAGTGGAGTCGGAAGGAAGGGTTTGCAACACAGAGCTATTTAAGGCTTGCATCTCACAGCCTCTTATGTTTTAAACCAATGAGTGTAAACTCAATGCCTTTCATAGTGTAAACTGTAGCTGTTAGCCTCCAAATATCCACTAGAGGGGGTATTTCAACCTTTTAATAGTACGAAAATTATGGCTGGATGGCTCAGTGAGCGGCTGATTCCACCAGCTGTTTGGAGTGCAGCAGGGATGGGATGGGGTGCTCTTAAAGATAGCGATCATCCAGTGTCTTTGCTAGAGTGCACCAGTTTGCCCCCAGAACATTCCTACCTTCACCTTTCTGGCCCCTGTCACAAGACTTTTCTGGTGCAGGTAGGATTTCCCCTGATTTGGATCGATTCCAATGTGTGCAACCACCGGAACCGATCCAAAGCAAGCCTTCATCTTTCAATTTGCCAGTAACACAAAGTGGCTTAATAAACAAGCCAGTGGCTTCAGCTGCAGGCAGTTTCTCCACTGGCCCTATAAGAGAAGGCAAATAAAATATTATTTTCAATTTTTTTTTTGTAACTGATGTAGCACATCAGCAATAATCTATAAGCAGTTAATTTTTCTATCTCTTCCCATGATCCACAGGTGAGCTCTAGCCTGAAGTGGCTCATTTATTAAGCCACTTCACGACATTTGCAGGAGCTATTTCTGTATGAATGGACAGGCTTGCTTAGAGCATTCCCAAGCACCTCACTCTAGTTTGCTCCCTGCTGTTAGATACTTAACCCTGCTTGTGGAGCCAAAGGTTGGGAGTTCAGTTACCCTACTGTGTGTCCCAGAAGAGCCAGCTTGTGTAGGCAAGCTGCCAGTCCCAGGATGCCCCCAGAAGAAGGGAATAATAGACCACTTCTGAGTATTCTTTACCTAGAAAATCTTGGAGGGATTGCCATGAGTGAGAATTGACTTGATGACACATAATTATTATAATATGTGTTTACTTACAGCAGTATATGGACAACTTTCATTGTGGGGACGGTCTGTGACTGTTTGCTCCCCAATAAACACGTCGAAATGCTCTTTGGTGTTGTCCAACTCTATAACTTTATTCAAAGCTTTTTTTTTCCTGCCCCCCAGGGGCTACACTGTCCCAGGGGCCTTGTCACCCTCCGCCTGATACTCCCCTCTCTATTTGGCTATGACTACACAGTGTGACCTTGTCTAAAAACAAACAAAAAAAAATAGGAGAGAGAGCGCCATCCAGGTTCCTGGTGCTGTCTATAATGGGTGTGTGTAGGTGGTGTGAATGAGGTGTGAATGAGATGTGCAAAGAGGAAATATGGGAGGCAAGGTCATGGATTTGGGAAAGCCTGGAAGCCCCATTCTTAGACCCTAAAATCCATGGAGGGGGGGAAGGTTTCCTGAAATAGCTGGGCAAAGAGGTGTGTACGCCTGCCCACCATATCCTTAATTCATGGCTGTTGCCACAAATAGGTCTTAGAAGTGTCGATTTGCTCAGAAGGGGGTGGCAGCAGGACCGTGTGCCCTCCCAGTGTGGTGGGTGGGGCTGGAGGAGGAGTCGATGTTGGAGGAGCCAGTTGCACGAGAGGAGCCATTGGCATGGGTGGATCTCCTTCAGCGTCCCATAAACTGATCAAGGGAGGGTAGACCTCATTGAGTGGGATGGCTGCTGCATGTTGCATGTACTTCTTGAGGGAATGGCGGCATCCTTTTTCCTTGAGCCGCCGTGAGGCACAGAGAAGCAGGAGCACAGCGCTCAGGGCTGCTAACAAGGATCCGGTGACAGCGGCAAGGGCTGCTCCTCCTGCCCACCCTCCCATCAGCTCCACAGAAAGCGAGGCCTCCTTGGTGGTGACGTTGAGGCAGGAACGCTGTGTCCGGGGTAGGTGCCGAACAGGTGTAGGAGTAACCATCGGGGTTCCCGAGAGACCCCCAGGGACTGCTGAAAAGCCTTTGGGCATTGCTAAAGAAGCCGCCGTTGCTACTGGGTGCCCTAGAGGAGATGTTGAAGAACCACCACTGGAGGTTGCCAAGGAACCCAGAGGAGAAGCAGAAGTACTTGTGGTTGCTAAGGCGGCTTCTGAAGAACCCGTAGAAGAAGATGTCGAATTGTTGGTGGAGGTTGCTGAAGCTGAGGAAACCTCGGTGTAACCGCCAACAGCAGCAGCAGCAGCAACTGCTGCCGAGGACTTGGGAACAGAGGACACAACAGTCAGACAAATTTCATAACGGGTTGCGGGCTGCAAATGAGTGAGGTTGAATTCCCGGATGCCCACTGGAACCCGGGCTGTGTAGCTCAGGTGGGGGTTATGGATGCGCATGGTGGCCGACGACCATGGTGGAGGAGCTGGGGGTGGGTGGGGCGTGGCTGAGTCACCTCCCCTCTCCTTTTTCTGACCCTCGGGGAAGGACGTTGTCCACTCCACCACCACAAAATGCGACTGCACCTTCTTTGCCAGGACCAGCAGCCTGACAGGAGCGAAGGTCCTCTCTCCAATCACGGCGAGGGTCACGCTGCGGCTGGTCGAACCCAGCCTGTTCCATGCCACACAGGTGTAGATTCCCGAGTCTGCTGGGGTAACTGCACTGATCTCGAGAGTACCCCCTTTCCTCACATGCAGTTTTCCTGACTCCTTTATCACTTTTTCTCCGGATGGGGTTATCCAATGGAACTGTGGTGGTGGCTCTGAGCTGGCCTGGCAATCCAAAGCTATGGTTGAACCAGAGGACACCTCCAAATGATCCGGGAGATCCTTGGAAGTTATTTCTGGCAAGCAGGGCCCTCCGATTATACTCTTCAGTGATTCTTGGAATTCTTGCCCGGAGGCTTCGGAGGGCGAGGTACACAGAGTGGTTTGCGACTCGACCAGCTGGATGTGCCCACTGACTAATGGTTCCCAGGCCTCTGAGCAGTCACAGCGCAAGGGGTTTCCATAGATACTCAGCTCAGCCAAAGCAGGCAAGGCACCTGTCAGGCCAAGAGGGAGAACAGCAAGGGCTGCATTGCTGACCAAGAGGGTGCGAAGAGCAGGCACCCCCTGGAAGGCACCCGGGTGCAAATAGGAGAGCCGAGGGTTGTTGCACAGCTCCAGCTTGGCCAACTCTGGGAGGTTCTCAAAAGCCCCTTGGTGGATGTCAGTCAGTTCCTCCATGCCATTGAGGCTCAGTTCCTCCAAATGCAACATATCCTTGAAGTCACTTGTCCAAATTTCTGTGATGGGGTTTTTGTTGAGATCCAGGAACTTCAAGAGAGGCAGGCTTTTCAATGCCTTTGTGGGGACACGTGGAAGGTGATTATCATAAAAGGACAGACTCTCCAAATAGTCCAGGCCTTGGAAGGCATCAGAGGGTACTTCGCTAAGCTCCATTCCAGCCAAGACGAGGCTGTGAAGGCGCCCTAGTGGCTGGAAGCTCCCTGCTCCGAGATGGGAGATGGGGTTTTCTCCAATCATGAGGATCTCCAAGTTGGGTAGAGACTGGAACCAACGGTGGTCAATGGCACGGAGACGGTTGGCATTGAGGTGCAGCCGGAGAAGATTGGTCAACCCAGCGAATGCCAATGGCTTGATGGAGGAGATGCGATTGTGGTTTATGTAAAGTTCTTCAAGTGATGCCAGGTCAGATAAGCAGTGGTCAGGCATCTCCTCCACCTGGTTCTCCTCCAAGTAAAGTGTAATGAGGCATGAGAGATTGGCCAACCCAGCATCACTGATTTTGGAGAAGTGGTTTTGAGAGAGATCGAGCTCGGTTAAATTGAGCAAATGCTGAAACTCCCCATTGACCTTAGATATCTTATTGCTCTGCAGGAGAAGGACCTGGGTGTCTGAGGAGAGGTTGCTTGGCACGTGCGTCAGGAGAAGATCATTGCAGTCCACTGTGCGGGCCTCGTGGTAGACAGACTGGGGGGTGAACCAGGGACGAGTCTCACAGACACACTGTGGGGGGCAAGAATAAGCAGTAGACAGTGATTCCTGCAGGACGAGCATTAGCAGAGCATAGAATGGGAAAGAAGACATTGTGTCTTCCATGGATGAGGCCCCCTTGCAATCAGCCTCAGAAAAGGGGTCTGGAAAAAGACAGTCCTGATCCGCCAGGTGTCAACCTAGAACAGTCCACCGAGGAGTGCCATCCCTGGAAGGAAAAAGAGAGAATGGGTAAGGTAAATATGCAAATACAAAATTTCATTTTAAAAAAGCATGTATTCTGAAATGGAATTTTCCACCTTGAGTATATACCTCTCTCTCTCTCTCTCTCTCTCTCTCTCTCTCTCAAGTCAGGGGGTTAGTTCTCCTTGTTGTAAGACACACCACAGGCATCATTGGAGGAAGGGCCAGACACCAAAAGCAAGAACTTAGCAGTGGTCAGATATTATGTTGTCTTTACCATGTGCTAAAAATAACAGCGGCCATGTTGGTCCTCAACAATAAACTAAAATCCAAAACCCTCAGACAAGTAGTGCTGAAGCGATTAGCTGTAATTCACTACAGTGTACCAGATTTTGTTCTCCCAAACATTTTAGCCAGGCTTAGTAGTAAAAAAAAAAGTTTGGGGAGAAAAACAGATGAATCAAAAATTTGGCTGGATGTTCTAAACTAGTGAGGCCTGCAACTAACCTCAGTCCTAAAATGGAGCATGCAGGTTGGATGAGTCAGAGTTAGGATATGCCGGTGTCCCATGATGTCTAGCAAAGCACACCCACCAGGATAAAGACAATATTATGGCTCCTTTTCTTGGGAAAAACAAGGAGGGATAGTAGTAACTCAGACAACTGCCGTGTGTGCTTTTTTCTAGTGCTCTCATTTCCCACATCCGTTGTCCAGAAGCTGGAAAATTTCTTCCAGTTGCTTTTCCCAAGATACTTGCATTATCTCTCATGTGAATGTTTACATCTCAGTGCTGGTTGTATCTCTCTGCCCTCACACTCCCGCCTAAATTCTTCCCTTGCGTCTCTTCTTCTCTGCAGGATTTACCTGCAGCTGTGTCTAATGTCTGCGGAGCACATCGCACCATTCCAGAGAGACTAACAATAAGAAAGTCTTTGCCCCATATAGATTCTTCCCACCTTCCCCTTAACGATGTAGCCTTTTTAATTTGCTTTAGCCGTAGGTGGTAGCAGCGACAAAGGGACATAAAACGTGTGATGAATACAACTACACAGAGATGTAAAAGCTCTCTCTGAAGACTAGTAGCGCCATCCATCAATCACAGATCAAATTGAAATGAATGATGTGTTTATACACCCCGAGCACATTGCTGACGCCCAGTGTCACCAGGGCGAGGAAGTAAGTTGCAGCTTAAGAAAAGCTGGGAGAGCTTTGGCTGCTGCAGACAAAAGTCCCCCTCTTACTTATATGGTTGTCCGTTCTGTTTAAGAGGAATTTGATGTGGAACAAAGTAGACAAATTTAGATTCCTCTTTAAACCAGGAATGCAAAAGAGGACAGCGGTGCTCTCGCTCGCTTTCTGCATACATATCTGAGTAGAATGGCTGAGTAGAAAAGGAAATTTTCTTAGATGCTCGCTTTCTTACTCCTGCCTATAACAAGTGGTGCCTGCAGAAGTTTCCACTGCTTCACAGAACCCATAAAGATATAACACCTTCACCCATCTTTACACTTAGGCCCTCCAATTCAGGAATGGAGGATCTTGGGCTCTCTTGACGCTTTGGACTGTAAATGGTACAATCCATGCCATGCTCAGAGCGAAGACTAGCGGAGAAGATGAGCCATCTCCAGGTGGTCCAAGGAAAGAGCCCTGGGGTATCAGTGCCTGGTTAAGTTGACCATACCGGGCTCACTTAAGTAGGAAGCTTCTGATTTTCAAAGCTGAAACATTTCAGGAGGAGAGATACCTGTCCTTGCTCTATTGCGGTGACCCCCTTGCCGCCTTTTAATTTCTTCACAGAAGTCTTGGACGAACAACCAACAGTTCTTCCAGACGTCCAAACTCACATTCAAAGACCCCCAAGGTCTTAGGATATCACTTGCTTGCATATCAAGCTATTTACTCTAGGCTGTCCCTAATTTGACACAACTCCGGGAGGCAGTGGAAGACAGGAGGGCCTGGTGTGCTCTGGTCCATGGGGTCACGAACAGTTGGACACGACTGAACGACTAAACGATGACGGCCCCTAATTTAGACTGTGTCCACCTGTCAGTGCATCCCACTCTGAGATGTAAAAAAGGCAAACAGCCCAGTTCTGCTTGTCTACTTGGTGCAACCTTAGCAGCACAAGAATTAATTGTGAGTAAAGGCCATGGCTGCTTCTTTAGCAAGGGCCAGGTCTGAGTTCTTCATCTGAAGGAGACTGGCTATCCAGCACAATTTTGACCTTTAATATAGGTGTGTGGCCCATTAGCTATTGGACCACAAGTCCCGTGCTATTCAAGAGAGCCAGTTGGGAGCACAGATGGGAGCTGCTCTCTAACAGCACCAGGAGAACTGTGTGTTTTCCAGCCTGTTGTATTTCAAGGACCACTTGATCCTACATAAACCTGGCTAGGCCTTGAGATGATATTTAGAACCCTTCTTCAGTCCCCATTGCCACTCACAGCAACACAAAATAATGTCACTCCTCCACCACCACCACCCAAGTGGTTATGTCCATCTTTGGAAACTCCTCCCTAGATTGGCTCTGTCTGGCATCAGCAATGCTATCTCTGGCTGTTATTCGCAATCAGGTCAGAACTGATTCATTGCAACTCTAACAGGACTTTCAAGGCAAGTGAGATAGTTAAGGAGTGGCTTTATCTGTTCTACCCCCCATGGTTGAATGGGAATTTGAACCCAAATCTCCTGAGTCCTGATCCATCACTCTATCTACTAAACCACACAGGGTACCTGCTATTTTTAGCACCAGGTGAACTGGGCTGGGCGGGTGTTGGTCAAGACTTTTTGCATCCACTCATGTTGTTTGGATTTTCTTGGTACAGTATCAGCAGTTTTAACATTTGCTGATTATGTTTTGTGATGCACTGAGGTTTTAGCAAAGGTTTTTCAGCAGAGTAGGGGGCACTGCATCCTGAAATTTCAAGCTATGTTGCCCGCACTCCATAGACCATGAGCAACCCCATGTTTTAGACTCTTGGTTTACTTTGCTGGTTCTGTTTGTTGTCTAGTCTGAGAGCTCTTTTAGCAGAATAGAAATATTTGTAGATACAACATTAAAACAACACAAACAGATGGATCTAGGGCAGTCTCCTTTGGGCTGGTTTTAATAGCAGGATTAAGAATTTAACTGAGGGTGGATTAGTTCAAAAGAAAACACAATTAGCACTGTATACTTTTAAATGGCTGGTATGTGAGTAAATTAACTTGAACAAATGTGCTTTGTCTTGTAGCAGGTTGAGACAACTATGCATGAACAGATCTATTTGTCCATTTCCTAGACAGACCAGTACTTGGAGAAGTTACTTTTTTGGTTTACAGTTTCCAGAATCCCCAAGCAACTGGGAGATTCTGCAATCGGTTGACCACAACAAGTTAGTATTTCCAGACTCTGAGCCATTGATTTCAAACGGCAAATTTAAGAACCAGATGGTTTTTTTTAGATACTGTATCTGTAAGGACGAGAGGAGGGTATACATAGAATAAATAAATAAATAAATAAATAAATAAATAAATAAATACATACATACATACATACATACATACATACATACATACATACATACATACATACATACATACATACATACATAATAAAATAAATATAAAGAAATACATACATCATATATGGTTTATTTCATTTATATTCATATAACATATATGTCATATATGTGGTTTGTTTCATGGTTGTCAGCAATTCATTTATACTAATGCTTTATATTTATACAACCCCCTGAGAAGAGTCACCGGCAACCACAGAAGACAGGAGGATAGAATGAATGAATGAATGAATAAAACCAGATATTTTAATAAATGAACCAATATGCCTCAGTTTTGCTTAGGATGGACTAATCAAATGAAAAACTGCTGCTGCAAAACCTGACGCTTCTGCTCCTTCTTTTGGAGGCTTGAGGGTGGGTTGTTTGCTTATGGGTATTCTCTCTTCATCCCCGAAGAGGTTAAAATCAATGATTGGTCCCCACTCTGGTGTTCTTGATCTGTCCCTTCTGTGTGGGAAGAGATTTGTTAAACAGTGGTACTGGCAGCAGCAGAGCTTGCTGGGTAAATTGATGACCTAGATAACTACTGGTTGAACAGCGGGCCCTGACGAACTTTGTAGTTTTCTGGAGCGGTGTGTGTGTGGGGGGGGGAAACAAAAGGCTAAAAGGGCACCATTTCCTGAACTGTGGGGACTGATGCTGTTCAGAGTTGGACATGCCTTGCTGAGGGAAGAGAGATCAAAACGGAGTCACAAACTCTGGATGCTAGCAACTCATTCCAAAGTGAGAAGGAGAGGCAGGAAGCAGAATTGCCAGATTCAGGACCCGTGAAGAGGCAAGGATGCGCAAGTTTTGGTCTTCCGGATGTTGCTTGACTGCACCTCCCATGAACCTTCACAATTTGATTATGCTGACTAGGGCTAATGGGACTTGGAGTCCAACCATGCCTGGAAGGGCACAGGTGGTGTGTCCACTTCCTTTTTAAGTATAAGGCAGAAGGAAAAAAGTTCACCAGGTATGCTTACTATTTCATAACAGGACTACGATAAGAAAAATCACAGCTGGGGAGTTCCACTCTATTTTATATATAAACTTGAAGTGATATCAGAGCCCAGCTCAGGATCTGGAACCTTGGAACTAAGGATACATGAGAAAGGTTTTCAGACCAAGAAGAGATACTTCCTATATTATCTAGATTCTCCCTTCTGGAATCTATTTTTTGCTCTTGCTCCCTCTGAATAGCACACAGGTACTTTTCTCTATCTGCATCTCTTGAACTGGTGGGGGCATCAAAAAAGATCTGATACAGACTGAATGAGAGTTCAGATATCCTCAACAGCTCTAGAATTGTTCCCCATGGGATGGCCAGAAGATTCTTGTTTCCTTAGGGCAGTGGTTCCTAGCTTTGGGTAACCCAGCTGGTCTTGGACTGCAACTTCCAAAAACCCTGGCCAGCACAGCTGGTAGTGAAGTCTTCTGGGAATTGAAGTCCAAGAACCACTGCCTTAGGGGTTGCTGAAGATAA